GTTGTATGCATGAGATATTTCTGTGATGATGTTTGCTTTGGGGAATAACCTGCACAAATAAAAAAAAATAGCAGCAGTCTGCTTGATCAGTTGAACTAGCTGATTTTAATCGTTGTCAGTGTTGTGTGTCGAGATAACAACTCACCTCACAGCACTGGGGACATTCCCATAACCACCCCGCCCTTATCTTAAGCAGTGAATTCCGATGGTATCAGTAACAGTTTGATTTTATGTCTGTCTTGCCTTTTTTTCTGAGCGTCGAGTGTTGACCAGAGCCTCTGTAGCAAAGGTGCTGCTCAAACAGAGTTACAGACTATAATGATCTATTCAACAGATGGAGATCTATATACGAGGATACATCAAATACAGTGCTAATGAAACAGTCAGAATCTACACCTTAAGACATTTTTGCTGCCAGAGACTGAGCAACAATGAAATGCTTTAGCCACCCAGGGAGATTGCAGCCAGACCAAACTGCATATGAGACTTTTTACAGCAGAATGTCTGGGAGGAAGGCAAGGGGAAGACCAAGAAAGAGATGGACAAATGGTGTTGCAGACACGTGTGAAAAGATGAACAAATCCGTCATCCATGCCACCTGAGAAGCGCAAGAAAAATACAGAAAACCACAAAACTGGGTTACAACCTGGTATCGGTGAGACGACAAAAGAAAGAAGAAGTCTGAGCCCCAGTGGGTATGCCCAGTCTGTTACAATGTCAATTCTTAAATCAGTAATCAGTAAACATAATTTACTGTGTGTCTTATCAGTTGATTTAAAATAACAATAAATGATGAAGAAATTGCCGATGTCTAAAACTTTGAATGTCTAGGCTCCATAATAAAGAGACAATTTTCAACAGAACAAACGAATGAACAATCAAGCTCAATTTTCAAAGGGTTAAAAACTGGGCAGGCAGGCCGATCTTATATTAGGCCCTTCCAAGAACTCATCTTTCAAACCACAACTGTATGTTATCAATAATGCAATTACGTTTATCTAAAAATATACATAGTGAACTAATGCATACACACATACTTCTGCAGAAAACAAAAAGGAGGATGGTCATAGCAACACAAATATTAAACAACATTAAAAGTCTATGGTTAACTCTTTGATGTCTCAGGGGGTTTAGCATCACAGGTCCAAGGGGTAGTTAAGAGAGACATAAAATCGGTGCATCTTGCGTTCATTGGGCTTCTAGGTAGGAATCTATGAACGTATGATGAGTTCTTTGAGACTCAAAGAGTTAAGTACCAGCAAGGAAATCTAAGTCAACATTTGCTGAGCATGCATCTTCCCTGTAGCAACATATCAATGTGAGTCATGAACTCTCTAAGTCCTTAAAGAAGAAAACAGGGGTTTTGAGCTGAAATGCTATAGACAGATTTTCAGAATACCATGGAGAGGGGGTAAAATGGGGGGGGGGGGGGGGGGGGGGGGGGGGGGAAGGAAAGAGAAGAAATATTGACATCCTACAAGATTTAAATGAGAGACTCTGTGGTGTAGCGGCTAGATGCTCACTTGCAGATCTGAAGGTTGTGGGTTTAGGTCCTGAGGAAGCCTGACTTTTCTAAAAAATGACTCCCAGGTTGACCCAGCCTTAAAATTGGTATGAGGTGAATTCCTGGGAAGTAAAGGTGGTCGGCATGATATTGACCATATCACCCACCAAATGCTGATTGGTGTATAAAATAAAGGTCTAGCCCTATATACCCAGTAAGCCTGAAGGCATGGTAAAGAGTCCTTAACAACATTTGAACATCAAGGAAGATTGGCTGTTAAACAGCATCTTGTCTTAGAAACTGAAATATTTTGGCCACACTGAGCCCCACGGTGGACTGGACAAAATGACAGCGGAAGTTACGATACCAGAAAAGAGGGGTAGGTGTGACAGTACTGATTACAGTCACGTTTATTACAAGAAGGAAATAGAACGAAAGAAACACACGGAGGAATAAGGAGTTATAGAGTCGCTTGAGATAAAGAAGGTCGCTACATAGTATAGCAACCCTGAGGGCATTGACTTTAGGCGTAGGTGCGGGGTCAAGCAGGAACTATTGTAGGCCAATATACTCGTAAATTAACAGAAGCAGGGCAACGAACAAAGGCAACGACACACGATTTCCTGGGGTTTTTCCATCCAATTATGCAAAGTGGCTTGGAAAACCATCTTTGGCGGGAAAGAGAAAGGTTCATGAACCTAAGAAGACACAGGTTCATGAACTCAGGTACAAAGGAGAGAGGTATAACCAAGTAGCGTCAGGGGTATATAGACTACCAGCGAGTAGCCAGGGGACACTTGCGCCGAGATCTCTGCCAACGAAAGATGCTGTGGGCATTCAGATGATGTCGCTACGATGGAGCTAAGTCCATACTTCTGCTGTGGAACTTGCCAGATATGCATGAAACATTGCTTGATGATTTGTGACATGGCAGTTTCTGTCATGGTGTGCTGGGTTGGCTATATAGGTTAGCTGGTCTTTGGACTGCAATCAGCAGTATGGTTAGATGGTAGTCGGGATTTGAAAATAGAACAGATGACTAGATTGTAGGCGTTATTTGGCTTATTATTTGTAGAGCAAGGAAGGAGATTCTAGGCGTCACTTGCTAGTTTATCGTTGAGTAGATTCTGCTGTCAGTTGCTGAGTTTTATAGTGTGAGGACGTTCTGTTTATAGCATAATATAACATCTGTTGGTTGTGTAATATGAGATATATGACTTTGTAATTCTGTTCTTCAATAAACATGATTGTTAGTTGTTATGCTTTTATTCCATCGTTAGTTTGTTGAGTAAAGGAGTGGTACTATGATTGTTCGTTGCTATAGTCTTTATACCACCACCACTCCACTATACCTATACTCTCTCTCCTTCATAAGACCTCCACTGACCATTACCTGATTGTTTGGGGTGTAGACTTATTACTACACTCTCCACACAGGAGAACCTATTGTCCTCTTATACATCCTTTAACTATTATTTCTTCTCATCTGTCTCTCTCTACTTTTATATCTTCTCTTCTTCTTCTATCCCCTCTTTAAAATGTACACATTGTGACATAGGGACCGACCAGCATGCATAGGAAAGTGCACGAGGGGAGAGAGCTGGTGAGAGACCAAGTTTCTTTCTGGCAGACTGTGATGAGAGTAATGATTTACAAAAGACCTGTAATACATGGTAAGGATCAAGATGTCGGACGATGTTAAGCCATCATTTCTCTCCACAAATTTTGATCCTTAGTATTCTAAATCCATTGTGTTGGTGATAGGCATTCCTGCAACCATCTTAACCAACCTAGAATCATTTCATTCTGTCCTTATCTACCTTTTCCATTTCTGACCTTTTCAATCATCACCCAAAAAAAAAAAAAATCTTTCTGTTAACTCTTTCAATCCTAAACAATGCAACCTGTGTACTGGATATTACTCATGTGCACTAGTCAACATGTTTTCTATATTTGTATGGCTTAAGTTTAATATATATTACCTGAATATAGTCTGCACCGAGATGATGGTGTTGCAGTCAGCCAGTGTGTCCTCTTCTCGTGAATTGGAAGTCTCTTTGTTGACAACTACAACGTTTTCTGTCAGGTTGATGCCCGCCCTCAACAAGTCTTCAACACTGCAATACATTTTAACCCATGAACCAAATAAACAATTTAAATAATCTTAATTGTATAAAATTCTGTTCATCAAATTTTAATCAACAAAAGGTAAATTAAGGGAAACTATTCTGTGTGAAATTTCTGACTCATAATTTTAATGAAAATTTATGTTTTGGCTAGATAGTTCTTACCACTGTTTGAAAATTGAAACAGGAACTTCCTCGAGCTGGAAAAAGTGGTAATAATCATTTTCTGATATAGGCAGGGTTGGTTTAAAAAACAAAACCACATTTCTGCCACACTCGATACCAGAATGAACCAGAAATAATTCAGTACAGTAAAAAAAAAAAAGATTAAGAAAAACATTAAAAGAAAAAAGAAGGAGAGGAGTGGGTGTGAAGGGGAAGAAGAAGAGAGATAGAGCTGAGAAGGAGAGAAGTTGAAGAACAAGGAGGAGGAGAAGAGGAAGATCAATGAAAGGAAGGGGAGGTAGGTGTCGAAGGTTTGAGGAGAAAGAAGAAGAAGAATTGGAGGATTAGGAGAGGGAGCGAGGGAAGGACAAAGACTAGGATGAAGACAAGGAATTTGTTTTCTCCGTGAGTTTTAAATAATTAATTGTCAAACGTCTTCAATTCAATGCCCCCCTAAAAAAAGAAAATAATCTTTACATTAATCAATCCATCAGTCAGGTGCCATCTCCACAATGAGGGTAGATGTGATAGCTCTTCACCTTGTTCTGTCTTTTGTCCTGGATGCAGTCTCTCAGACTGCTGTTTTTTCACCTCTTGATGTCATCCCACCACTCGTATCACTGTCTGCCTTTTGCTTTCAACCTTTCTTTCTAGTATGCTTTTAATAAGAGTGATGTCTCTTAACTGTACAAAGTCTTTGCACAGAGACTTGGCTAAGAGCCAAAGAACATACAAATAAGCCAGATCTGTAAAATGGATGTGCACATAAAACTCAAGTTGTCGAACTAACCCAAAATTCAGATGTGGGTGAACAACCAGAACTCTTCACCAGAGTTTACAGCTGGTAAACACTAAAAAAAAAAAAAGAAATCAGAAGACTCACCAGTCTATAGACCCTCTCATCCAGAACACAAGGGGAAAGTAGCTGATCATATTGAGGAAACTGTTGTCTGGTCTGAGAAACAACATAATGTTAGGAATTCTTATTACTCAGCAGCAATATATACAGAGATTGAAAAGTAGCTCCCTATTTTAAAATAATTAATTATTTATGAATGGTAATCTTTATCTGAAATCTGTGTGTAAGTAAAGTAAGAAAAGATCCCTTTCCATGCCTTTGGCGCATCGGGTATATGGGAAGAGCGTCCCATATTTTTACAGACCAATCGGCACTGGATGGGTAATGTGGTCAGCATTACGTCGGCCGTCTTTACTTCCCCAGGACAGCCATCCTGGTACCCATTTTAGACTTGGTCAACCTGCGACGCCCTATACCATGATAAAAATCCACGCCGCCAGCAGTGGATTTTGATCACGGTTCGTTAGATTACGAGTCGGACTCGCAACGCCTAATCCATGAAAGCCGCTGAAATTTGTGTGTATTTAATTTATGAGAGTATAGTCTGTAAATGTAATTAGTTAGTTAGTTAGTTAGTTGGGTTATCCTCATTGCACTCCGGACATGTCCATAGGTGCTCAGATCCTCCCCTCAGTATGAACCCCAACGTCCGATGGCTAATAGTACCAGTTCTATGTTGATTAACAAGTCTTCTTGCGTAGTTGGTGTGCGTCTCGTTTTTTGCTGTGCCGATCTTAATTCCCAAGTCTGCCATTCTGGCGAGTGATATGGATTCACTGCCATCAAAGTCCTCTATTCTTCCCATTTCTCTGAGGGCATTGATAATATCAGTATGATCCATAGGCTGACCGTCGGTAGTGATAGCGGATCCAGCCAACCTGTCAGCTCTTACATTTCCATCGACGCCTGCGTGTCCCGGAACAAAAATAAAGGTGACTCCACGAACAGTGGACTTCTGTAATGATTCAAGCCATTGTCTTCGCACTGAACCTGCCTGAATCCTCCAGATCATACTCATTGAATCACTGAGTATACACACGCGGGTGTATTTTTGTGTTTCAAGCCAGGCAAGCGCTTGTGTCACTGCCATCACCTCCATCGTCATGCTGCTGGTTGTCATGGAGAAGGCGCCGTTGGCTTCTTTGACTGTTCTGCCCGCTGAGCGTGCTGTAAATGCCCATGCGCTTCTTCTTTGGCGTATAACGGATCCGTCTGTATAGATTATTGCATCTGCTTCGTCTGAATTTTCACCGATGAGAGCGTTGACCTCTGCATTAACAGCAACAGGATTCTCTTCTCTGCATCGCCTGTTGAGTGTGACAATACAGGAAAATGTACAAATAAACGCCTGAGGCACAGGTATCCATTCTGCACCAGGTATGATGTCGGTTAGGCTGCATATTTGCCTAATAACATCTTCTGCCCGACCTAGCCACGATTTCCCCTTCTTCAGTCTGTCGCCCTTTTCACTAAAAAGTCTGTAAATGTAATTGGCTGTCATCGATGTTTCAGACTGATTATTTTGTTCTGGAAGAACTTGAATGGTGACTATGAGAAGTTATGTCTTCCATGACACGATTTTTGGGTGGCTTAAGAAGCTGGTAGAAAAATCTGGTACCCATATCATATTTTAAATAGAACTGTATGCCTAAATGCTTTCCTCTTGTACCCAAATCTTGTAAAAATTATAGTTAATTAAAAAAACATGATAAAATAGGGAGTTACTTATTCATCACCCTGTGGATGCCAAACCAGTACTGCTGCGTGGAGCAGTAACAGCGAGAATATTCTAAAACAAATACTAATAAGCTACAAATATTCATGATCTAATTGTGTACCCAGCAACTCCCTATGGGTGTCTTGGTTCTAATCACATTAGATAGTTCTCTTAAACTCTTCACCCCACATCCAGCTGTTTACACACACACACACATGCACACACACACATGCACACACGCATGCATACATACACATGCACGCATGCACACACACATGCATGTGTGCACACGTGCACACACACACACACGCGCGCACACACACACCATCTCTCTCTCTCTTCAATTGTTACTTTAATTACTTCTCTTTCAAAATACTATTTCCCTTTGTGGGTTCTGGAGGTTATCATTTTGGGGTTTACAAATAAAGAGTAAAACCACTCCCCTTTCCCAAACTGGCATGTTCTACAAGGTGACTACAAAGTTGTTTCCTTTGATGTCAGAGTCTGCCTGAGAGGTGATGAACTAACATTCTGCACACAAATAGGCCAGATCTGTAAAATGGATGTGCATGCAAAAACTCAGGTTCTAGAACAAGACAAAGGTTTAAAAGTGACCAAACAACCATCTTTTAGGCAGATTTACACTGGTGAATGCTAAGAAGAAGAAGAAAAAAATACTATTATTTGTTTGTTTGTTTTAGTATCCAGAAGCCATGAGTTGTTAACCCTTAGGCTCGGTATTATGGAAATCGCAACCTTTCGGCCTTGATTCCATTGTAAATACAGTAAATCTGGGAGAAAATGTGGCTTTCCTGCCTACCCCCGGGATTGAACCCGGACCACAAGGAGTTTGTCACCTGGTCTCCGCGCAATCCGGTTTAGCCAACAACGCTAGAGAGCCGGGCATACTATTATTTAAAATCACCCAGACCAAAACATTTAGTCATTGTATTGTGCCATTATATGTCACATACTGCTTGCAGCCTATTCCTCCATTCCATTATATTCTGTGCCATAAGTTCAACAAGATGGAGGAATACAGTCCAGCAGCTTTGATCTCTCTCAACATTTGTCTTTGGGTTTCTTTTGGGCGTCCTTGCCTTTTTAATTCCTTTATTTCCCATTTTAATGCCCGTCTGGTGATTCTCTGCTCATTTCTTCCCAGGATGGGTCCAATATAGAGCCATCTTCTCTATCTTATAACCATTGATACAAGTAGCAGTAATATCATCATTACCTGCTGCCTTATTGTTTGCTAATGAATTGACCTATTTTATTTTACAATTTATTGCTAAATTTATTTTTAAAACTTTTATAATAAAGTTACAAGAATTCTAGGAGAGAATTCGCTAAATTATACCTGTCTGGTTATGAAAGCCTTAACTGGTGGCTGTGTAGAGACAAGGGGATTAGTTACATGGTATGATAGGATCACTATTGTAGAGCTTTGGAAGATAAAATAATTTCAGTGAATCAGATGAGGACAAAAATGCTGCAGCTGGATAGGTCACATTGAGAAAACATGATACAAATGTAACAAGAATATCTCTTCACTGGAAACCACGGGCTTTTGTGAGTCCTGGTGTTAGCTGGCAATATGCGTTTGTGTCAGCTGTGAATAAAGGGAAAAAGAAGCAATGCATACAAGTCTATTTCTGGTTCAGTGGATTTGCTAACAAATTAAAACATCATCTATATTTTAACTCACTGTTTTGAAAGCAGTAACACAATTGGGCTGAGGGATTTCCTGGGGCGAGCGTGTGATCTTAAAGGCACAATAAAATTGTAGAGACCGGAGCTAGCATGGTCAGCAGCCACAATGATAACCGGATTTGGCCAGTTGTACTCTTTTGCATTTTGATGACTGCAGTGAGGGCAGGCCTGAAATGTGTGAACAGCACTAGAATAATAATAAATGTGAATTGTGAATCACAATATATACAGAATATATTTTTTTTTAAAGTGACAGAAAGCAAAAACAGTAACTTGTCATCTTTGATAGTCCCAAGCAGTTTCTTCTTCTGCTACTGTTTCTTCTTCTTCCATCTCCTTCTGCTAATCTTAGTTTTTTCCTCCCTTCCCATCCCTATTTCTCCCAAGCCTTTTCTTCTTCTTTCATCTCAAGCTTTCCACACCCACTTCTTCTTCCTTTCCTTATTCCACCTTTTTTTTTCTTCTCTGTGTTCTTCTTCCCTTCCCATCTCTTTCCCTCTTTCTGTTCCACCTCCTTCTTCCTCTAATTCTTTCCATGAACCCCTCCCCCTTCCCATTCTTTAGCTCCCTTTTGTGTGTGTAGAAAATCTGTTCCTTCCTCTTTATCTTCTATCTCCTCCTCCATCTACTACTCATTGTTCTTTTTATTGCTGTTTTTCCTCCCATTTTACTCCCCCTCTTCTTGTGTCTCCTCTTCTTATTTCTCTTTCACCCTCTTCTTCTACATCCCCCTCCTCCTCATTTATCGTCTTCATCCCCTTCAAAAGAGTTCACCCACTACACCAAAGACCTTTATACAAACATAAAATCTAACATTTTAGGAAAAACACAAACATGGCTGTAATGAGTACAACCTGAGGCAAGAGGAGAAAACTTCTGAAAATAATTACTGCATTTAGTTGTTTCAATGAGGCAGCACAAACTAGCATTGTGACATAAAGGGAGGCAATTAGAGTAGATAGGTTGGGAGTTGAGCGTCCATTAGGAAATATTAGTTAGTTGGGTAGTTAGTTAACTGTCTGATCATTCTTCTCACACATCAGAGAAGTCCATGTGCTCAGATCCCATCTGCACATGTTGCACATATCTTCTGCAACCCTTTAAATATGAGGAAAGTTTGAAAGCGAATGCCTTCAAGGACAAAACTTTGTTAATAGTGTCCGGGAGCAAATGACACTGATATGAGAATATTGTGTGAGTAAATGACTTTCAAAATATGAATGGTCACCTGTGTGGAAAGTGGCGCACGTGCACAACAGTATCTAAAATGGTGACATACATAGAGACATTTGGTCATACATGTTGCCATGGCAACAATGTCCTGAAATGACATACTCTAGCTGAGGAAAACTTTTCTTAACATAAATGGGTCTTGCCAGTCCCACTGCTCTAACTGAGGAAAACTTTTCTTAACATAAATGGGTCTTGCCAGTCCCACTGCTCTAACTGAGGAAAACTTTTCTTTAACATAAGTGGGTCTTGCCAGGCCCACTACTCTAAATGAGGAAAACTTTTCTTTAACATAAGTGGGTCTTGCCAGTCCCACTACTCTAAATGAGGAAAACTTTTCTTAACATAAATGGGTCTTGCCAGTCCCACTACTCTAAATGAGGAAAACTTTTCTTAACATAAATGGGTCATGCCAGTCCCACTACTCTAACTGAGGAAAACTTTTCTTAACATAAATGTGTCTCTCCAGTCCCACACACCATGGCTGTGTGCTGTGACACCCCATGCTTCCCTGTAGCCCAGTGTAATATATTTGTCCACCCATCACAAGTGATGAGGACCCCTCAGTCTTTCATCTGTCATGCAACTATAGCTGATTGTGAGTCCCAAAGTAATTTATAAGCCTAATACTGGCCGGGAAGAATCTAGGATTCCAATTCATGTTGATTCCAAAGCTCCTCTGGCCGCTGTTAGTCTACGAAGTGACGATAATTGCAGTGGAGACAATGGAGAGGAAAATCAACACAGCCTTAAGAAAGTGGATTGGTGCACCGCCTTGTCTGACTGACGTGGCTCTGTATTGTAAGCAAGCTAAGCTGGTACTCCCGTTCAAATCGATAACCGAAGAGTTTAAAGTTGGCAAAGTAAGACTCGCCATGCTCTTGCGCGAGTCTTCAGACCCAAATGTCATCGCTGTCCAGCCCGCTCTCAAGACTGGTCAGAAGTGGAGAGTCCTCGATGCGATAGAATCTGCTCAGAATGCACTAAAATTGAAGGAAATAATGGGATACACTCAAACCGACCGTCGAGGCCTAGGTCATGGGAAGGTCAATTGGTGATCAAAAGCCACAGCCAAAGAACGCCGAGACATAGTGATACAACAAGTGAGGGAAAACGAAAACGAGGTTCAGGTCCAGAAAGCAGCCCAACAGTCGCAGCAGGGCCATTGGGTCAGCCTGGAGAGTGCATTGCCAAGAGTACTCACATGAGGTGAGATCTGGCGAATGACCCCGTTGCGACTGAGCTTTATCGTTCGTTCGGCGTACGATGTATTACCGTCCGGTGTTAACATGTTTAAGTGGTCTGCGACTAACGATCCGGCTTGCCCGCTGTGCAGAGCGAAGCAGACTCTAGAACATGTTCTGTCCGCATGCAGGAAAGCCCTAGGCCAAGGCCAATATACCTGGAGGCACAACAAGGTGCTAAAAGAGTTAGCAGCCGTTGTTGACCAGGCTAGGATGCGGGCTAACGCTAGAGCCAGTCCTACCATCGTCCCCATACGTTTCCTCAAGGCTGGGCAGATTCAAAAAGGTCAGATCAACAAAAACGCATTCGCTCTATCTATGCTAGACTCTGCGAGGGACTGGTTACTGGTGGTTGATCTGCCAGGCCATGAAAGGTACCCTGAGTTAATCCGGAAGACCGGCCTGCGACCTGGCATAGTTCTCCACTCCGCGGAGAAACAGCAGCTCATCCTGATTGAGCTGACCGTCCCGTATGAGTAGCGTATGGATGAAAATCACCTGTATAAGCTAGAGAAATACAGTGATTTAGCAGCCGGTCTGAGGAGAGACGAGGCGTACACAGTACGTGTCTTTGCCGTCTCCACTTCACTCTACAATGTGGTTAAAGAACTAGGATTGCGCGGTAATGAACGGAAACGAACACTTAAGCAGCTGGGCGAGGTTGCCAAGAGGGCCTCGAGCTGGCTTTGGACACAAAGAAACAACGCAGGGGACGGGCCTCGGTGAGTTGGTCCGGTTGCCTAGTGGAAAAGGGTTTCTCATCCCTTGAAAGTCCATCGTGTCCGAATTGTATGCCAGTGTTCCTCTGCCACCTGCTAACAAAGTCCAACATGTGTCCGGTATACCAATCGTAAGCTTGTCGCTCGGTCGTCCAGGTATGCAGACTGCTCTAATTATGCTACCGCAGCGATTTCGTATCTCACAGTACCATCTGCAAAATCACCAAGTCGTCTTGTCCCTATCTGAAAAGAAAACACCATCCGGTAATTCTGTGCAGCGGGGAAACCAGCCCTGAGCCTCATGAACTCAGGTGGGCCCACTCTCTGAAAACGTCTAGGAGGTCGTGGGCCGAAACGTTTGTCAACGAGGGATAACTTCTACTGATGACTGGTAGATCCCTGCTGTACATGCTCCCCTGTGGAGTTTATTCCCTCAGCCTAATACTGGCCGGGAAGAATCTAGGACAATGAAGGCAGGGAACAATGTCTGTATGTAAAAGGACCTGTTATACAGGTCTTTCTAGCCTGTTTGCACTGACTGTTCAGCTGTCCTTTTACTAGATGCCTTGCAAGTTGCTGCACCTCTTCAGACAGACACTGGCACACATGTAATACTATTCTCTGGAAAGAAGAAAAATTTCCAAGAACAACCAGCTAATTGTTCAAATAAATACTCCTTCACAAACTCCTTGTTTAAAGCAAGTTCTGAATCATGAATGACAAAAACAATTTAAAATTCAGTACTTTAGATCAATTTGTAACAGGAAATGTAAACACCTGTCAACACAAGTTTTACTGAAGTGACCTGTCAAAAAACTAGAATAGAATTCAAACAATCATTTATTCTTAAAAGTAGATTTTCCACTTATTGAGTTATGCTAAGTGGAGTTTGGAAAGACTGGAGACAGATTTTGGAGTAACCTCAAATGATGTACAATTAGGAGTAATAAAAAAAAAATTCTCACAATATCCAACTGAAGGCAACAAAGCTGGCGCTTAACTTTCAGCAAGTGGCACAATGTGGGACTGGTTCCAACGTATGGAGTTACAGGTGGAAATCCTTTTACATATCTGTGACATAAAATAGAATAAGTGCTATTTCCAATGTTACAGGCTAAAATTCTTACACATATCTGTGACATAAAATAGAATAAGTGCTATTTCCAATGTATGGAATTACAGGCTGAAATTCTTACGCACATCTGTGACATAAGTCAGAATAAGTGCTAGTTCCAACATATATTATTACAAGTAATAGTAGTAATTTAATCAATAATATCCTGTACAACCCTTCCAGGTTATAATTGGTGTGTGTGTATGTGTGTATAAATATATATAGCATTTTGTCTAGCTCAATAATGTAAATTTATGCCTGTCAATTATGTATGATTATTCAATATACAAAGCTTATGTATTCATTGTATAAGACTTTAGGAGTACAGATTGTCAAGTTCAATATATTGTCCGTGAACTTTCGAACAAATATAGTAATTATTTTGTGCAGTCTATCTTTTCAGATTTTTTAAGTGTTCTAGGATACCATTATTATGTCTTGAGATAAATTAACATTTCATATGCGAAACCTTGTTCTAGCGAGGTACTGTTTAATCCTCTCGTACATGATCTCGAGGCATGGTGTCCGCCTCGAGTGCTAGAGGTTCTGAGTTCAATCTCCGGTAGGTGCTGGGATTTTTTTCAAGTGGACTTGGACTTCTAGTAATTCCCCCTGATCTATGGGTAGTGAGATAAGATGCCTGTGTGCATTGTTGCACACATAAAAAATCCCTTTGCAGTTGGAATAAAAAAAAGGGTAGACTAACGACGCTGCCCAGCAAAATTTTGAGTTTAAAATCTACCCAAAGTATTTTAGGATCCTCGACAGTGCTACAGAGTCTGTGCACTGTGCTGAGCTTCTTCTCCTACTCAGACTTGAGTTGGAGAAGAATGGAGCCCTTTTGGGTAACTACCCGTGCGCCATGATGTTGATCCGTTGTTCAGCGTTCAAACTTCAAACCTCCTTTAGTTCTTTAGAGCTATCTACTTCTAACGTATTGTAATAGTTGGAAATATGTTCACGTATCTGTTTCACATAATAAAATAAAAGCTAGTTCCAACATATGGAGTTTTATAAGAAAGCTGTACAATTTATTCTCATAATTATTAATTCACATAGGTTACCACGGGCATGTGCAACATGTGCAGCTACACAGGGTGGCACAATTTTTTAGGTGGCACAATTTTAGGGTGACAAAATATAACAGCTAGTAATAAAATGTTTATATTTTCATTGCTTTTAACATTATGAAGCCTGCATTAGATTAGCCTTCTGGAATTCAGATAGTATAGTTTAGCTGAGGGAAGAGGTGACATAAAGCAAATGGTTGCACAAGGGCGTCCTACATCCTATATATGGCGGTTGTTGCACCCTATCAGACTCATCAAGAGCAGCCATACACATGCTATATGTATCTCAAGAGAAGCAAGAGCTACACGTAGACATTCCCTTCCCTCCAAGGAAGCTTCCATTAACATAAATAGGCTTCTAATTAGACAGAAAATGAATCAAACTTACTCAGGAAACTCATCATCAATCTCTGCATCAGGTTCATCCTCATCCTCATCCTCGGAGTCTGATCCCAGGATGTTGACATGAATGTTTCTCATATCCAGCACAGCCGGAACTGGAGCAATACTTGGCCTCTTCTGTAGACTCTGGATGTTGAGACCCTGTAAAACGTTCACAATGGAGAGTCTGCGAATTGCTGCTGTCAAACTGCTGGTAGGAAGAGCCCTGGAGTTATCATGCAGGCACCACCACCTCCGCCACTGCCACCACCAGCAGCAGCAATAGCATCATCATCATCATTATCATAACAGGTCCTTTACAGGACTTTGCTCCACAAAACACCTGAAAGAAACTTGGCCCTAGCCAGCTCTTTCGTCTGATTAACTTCCCAGCCCAAGGTGTCTATTATGTCTGACTGACTGACTGACTTTCTACACCAACAGGACATCCCACACGCGATAAACACCCGATGACACAATGTGCCACCATGTGGGTGAGGATCACCGTGGAGAGGTCCCAGAAACTGCCTTCAGCCTTTAGGCCATATTTATGGCCAGGCTATATTGCGGCCACTGGCAAGAGCCAGAGTAGGGCTTCAAATAATGAAATATTTCGTCCTAAAAAGGACGGGAAATAATTATGTTTTTTATAAGTCTATTATGTCTGACTGACCGACTTTCTAACCCACTAGGACATCACACAAGCGATAAACACCCAATGACACAATGTGCCACTATGTGGATGAGGATCACTGTGGAGAGGTCCCAGAAACCGCATTCAGACAATTGGCCATATTTATGGCCTGCCTATATTGCGGCACCAGGGTGGGGCTTCAAAGAACAAAAAATTTCGTCCTAAAAAGGACGCGAGAATTAGTGTTTTAGTCTATTATGTTCCCTATTTTCTCTCTTTCATCCCATCAATGCTTTAAAAAAAAAATGAGTCATGAAGCTGCAGAATTTTAGGAAAAATCCTTTTAAAAAAATGAAAAAAAAAAAAAGTAAATGTTTAAACAATGTATTTATCTATATTATTCAATGAAAACACATATATAATATAATAAATATATATATATATATATATATATATATATATATATATATATATATATATATATATATATATATATATATATATATATATATATATATATATATATATATATATATATATATATGTATATATAGATAAAGGAGCAATCAATAAACGCATTCAGGGTGAAGCATAAATAGAATACATTCCTCTATGTGTAACAACAACACAAATGTATAGAGTGACTCATGCTGTCACCACACGACCTCTATCACTGAGGTTTATGAGAATATTGGATTTAATACAGTTTTTGAAAACATCAGTGCAGACATTGCCATATGTTGACATTTACAGGTATGTGGCACAACAGAAAGTGCCTAGATTTATGCTTCCTGGGGCAGGAGAGTTAATGTTTGGAGACGGTCCAAGTATCAAAGTAAATGACTAATGAAGTCACAAAGAATAAATTGCACAGATTGTTGCCTGGTGTATTTCAATCTTTTGTTTTAAGGTTGTGAGTCCTGGACAATTAATAAACAAGTCTAGCAATTTATTGAGGCTTCAGAGATGTAGTTTTATAAAAGAATCCTTAAAATTTCTTAAACAGCCAAAAAGAGCAACCCAGATGTTTTGAAAGAGGCGTGGGCACAAATACAGAAAGAGACAGTCATAATAGTGTGTTCATGTTATGAGAAGAGGAAAACTGAAACATGTTGTGACCGCTGGAAAGATCGTTGGAAAAAAAGGTAGAGGAAGACAAACTGGGACAATTTTTTGACAGCCTTTTGTTTTGTCATGGAACTGTCATCAAACGAGCTGATACTTGCTGTTGAAGTTAGCAGGTTGTGGAGAGGCATGATCACCTACACCAATCAGCAAGGCACTTGATGATGTTGAAACCAATGCAAGGCTAAGTCGCCTGCAGCTGGATTAAACCCGGCACCCCAGCAAGTTCACAGTAGGTAAGCCCCAGATGTCGACTCTAGAACAAGACCAAGGTAAAAAAAAAGTGAAACCAGAAGTGCCCACAATAGTTAACAATAGTGAACACTGCGAGGAAGTAGATTTCTGCACTGTCAAACATCTGTTGATTGAAGTAACAACTTTTTAGTTAACATAAAACGTGCATGGGAATGAAAGAGTGAAAGCACAAACAGCTGTAGCCTACCTTCGGCAGGGTGAGATTATGTCTTCTGCTACCTGTCCTTGACAAATTGTTGGTGTCTGCACTGCAGTTTTGAGCTCTTGTGTGCTGAAGCTCTAAAGCAACTGTGCCTGGGTTAAAAAAAATGTGAAAGGGTTAAAAATGAATCTAGGGATTTAACTATTATCATCCCTATGTGGGTTCTGTGAACTCATTTTAGATGGAAAAAGAATAGACCCACCGCCCCCAACATGCCTGTGTTAAAAGGCGACTTAGTGGGCTGAAAGGCACAGCTATCAAAATCCAGCTATAAGCCACAAGATAAGGTGCTAACCACCCTGTTCAGGGTAAGCACAAAAGAAGAAAAGTTATTACCAGGAGAGTTAACTGAATTTAAGGACCGACATGATAGCACTAGGGAAATTCCCATAAGGATTCTATCCCTTTAGGGGCAGTCATCACTGTATTCCAGTTTCGATGGTACCAATAGCAGCTTGAGTAAAAATATAACAGGAGACAACCCTTCAACTTAGTGACAACTGGCAAACTTAATGGTAGAAAAACAAGGACAAACAAAGAGATGTTTGGCCGCACGACATAAATGAGACAAGAACACTAACCTGATCCAAGACTCTGATAATCACAAAAGATAACAATAATTGCATAAGATAACAATAATCACATAAGATAACAATATTCACATAAGATAACAATAATCACATAAGATAACAATATTCACAAAAGATAACAATATTCACATAAGATAACAATAATCACATAAGAAAACAATAATCACATAAGATAACAATATTCACATAAGAAAACAATAATCCCATAAGATAACAATAATCACATAAGATAACAATAATCACATAAGAAAACAATATTCACATAAGATAACAATATTCACATAAGATAACAATATTCATATAAGATAACAATATTCACATAAGATAACAATATTCACAAAAGATAACAATATTCACATAAGAAAACAATAATCCCATAAGATAACAATAATCACATAAGATAACAATAATCACATAAGAAAAACAATATCACATAAGATAACAAATCACATAATCAATATTCATATAAGATAACAATATTCACATAAGATAACAATAATCACATAAGATAACAATATTCACATAAGATAACAATAATCACATAAGATAACAATATTCACATAAGATAACAATATTCACAAAAGATAACAATAATCACATAAGAAAACAATAATCACATAAGAAAACAATAATCACATAAGATAACAATATTCACATAAGAAAACAATAATCACATAAGATAACAAACCCTAGCAGGGTTGGTTAACTTGTTTAGTCCTAGAAAACTTCACAAGGGAGATTATCAGGGAGTGGCTAGCATGTACGATGGAGGCGGACATTAGTAATTAATTCAGGATAATACTCAGTCGGGTGATGTGATTATTTATACAGATGGTTAAATCTCAAGATGCAAAAGAAGTGCCTGGGGGTTCTTGGCAAAAGCTAATGGTCAACGTTTGGTGCAGGAAAGCATAGCTTATGATACCATAACATCCAGCTTAGGAATGGAGGTGGAGGCAGTCACTGCAGCTTTCCACTAGCTAGAGAACATGATACACACACACAGACGCACATGCATGCGCACACACACACAAATCAGGATTGTAGCTGATAGCAAGCATGCTGAGGAAGGTGGGGATAGGCTAGCTTCGTGCACAGTGGCAGACTTTGCTTCGGAGGTCAAAGGGTGAAGAGCATTGTCTGGATCTTTTCTCTGGGTCATGCCAGCATGTTGGGAAATTAACGGGCTAACTCTGCACGACTTGGTGGAATTCTGATGCATGATAAGGCAGACGTGGTTTAGGCCTTATGGGTGCACGTGTAAAACTGGGAGCAGAAAATGTATCATCACAGTCAGGCAAGAGTGATGCAGTAGGGAGTGACGAGGTGTTCTGCCCAAAACTCGATGCTCAGAGGAAAAGGAAGATGGACATATAATTAGACTGCTACTGACACCATTTGTATTGGAACTCTGCGCTGGCTGATGGAGATGGGGATGGAGCGTTTATGGAAATTCCCTGAGTGCTGTGATGCCGGTTCTTGAATCAACTCAACAGGAGTTACCAATGTGGCAGCAAGAACTAAACACTATAAATCAGGGGCGTCAAAACCTGAGCGCTAAGGCACCTGAGACCTACCCAATCCCCCAACCCCTAAAAATAAATTGGTGGATGGAGGGCGGGGTGGCTATGCTTCCTTATTAAAAATGTACACCGAGGCTAAGTAGTCCCTCTAGCCATGCATAGACTTTCCCTTTTCAGTTTTTGTTTATATATTTCATATTATTTTGAATAAATCATTTTATTTATTTGTCTTTCAGCATAAAATAATGATAATATTATTAGTATAACTGCCACTTAAACATGGCTTCAACCTCTTGACTCTTTCCTAAAAAATTTCACTTATGTTTTCTTTGTATTGGTACATTTGCTATGGTGGATGTGACCAAACCACCGGGCAAGTAAGATTCCTTTACTATGCCCTGACCAACAGTAAAAAAAAAAAAAATCAGTAAAATTTAAAAAAAAAAAACTCAATTTCTGTAGCCAATCATCCAGCCCTACATGCTTTCACAGCCATAGCATCTTTGATGTCCTGTATCCACTTTCACAGTAGTCTGGCCTTCTGCTTCATTTTCTTAAAACGAAAATCTATCGGCACTTTATTAAAATCCTACCCCCAGGACAGACCAACATTTTAGAGGGTGGTAAGACTGGGTTTCCCGGCTTTCTAATGCTTTTAACAACCCCAAAACATCTAGAACTGGCCCTAACCCCGACCCACCTACACGAGAGAGTGCAGCCTAGGTCCCATGACTGCATGCAGCCTATCTACCTTCTTCTTCTTTTCTTCTTCTTCTCTTCCACCTTGTACCTCATCGAAGTGTCGGGGGGAGATGTAATGTTCGTTGATGGGCTCTGTCAAGAGCACTATTAAGACTGATGTTCATTTCTGTAAGGCTGTTCTTAATGCCATCACTCCATATTTTCTGAGGTCTCCCACTCGCTCTATACCCGTTGTAACGTTTTAGCGTGGCTCGCTGTGGCAGATAGTACCAGGGCATTCTGCCTATCTACCACCCTCCTGAAATATTAGACTGTCCTGTGACTTGTGAATTTCCCCTGTTTGGGGTGGGACATTAAAAAAGCACCAAACCTTCTATCACCATTGTCTCCAGGCCAAAATGATGCTTAGCATGGCAAAAATGCCTCAGCTTTCACAACAGAATGCTGTTTGTGAGCCAATTCTCCTCAATGTTCAAATCAAGGGGGTGTGGAAACTGCTACTTACCAACGCCAGCTATCATGCTAGCCACTCGAGATGGCTTCTCTGTCCCCAGTGGCAACCTTGCTCGGTCAAAAGTCGTACAGTCCTGGTTGGGATGGGTCAGAATAAAGGCAGAGTTCTCCTCCTTGGTGATGTTCATGTAGAAACAGAAGTCTGTTTTTCTCATGATGTGACGTGGACCGGGATTCAAGAGGATTGTACTGCCTGGCAAATCCTGCTGGATTCCCACCAGACTGACTCCATATCTGCCAGAGACAATAAATGTGATAATAAGTATAGTATAAATGTGATAATAAGTATAGTATAAATGTGATAATAAGTAAGTATAGTATAAATGTGATAATAAGTAAGTATAGTATAAATGTGATAATAAGTGTAGCATAAATATGTTAATAAGTATAGTATACATGTGATAATAAGTAAGTATAGTATAAATGTGATAATAAGTGTAGCATAAATATGTTAATAAGTATAGTATACATGTGATAATAAGTAAGTATAGTATAAATGTGATAATAAGTGTAGCATAAATATGTTAATAAGTATAGTTAGTATACATGTGATACGATAAAAAAAACTAAAAATCTCTTTATTTATCACTTGTAAATTTTGGGCATGGTGGGGGGCAGAGGTGGGGAAGGGGGGGGGGGGTTGAGGTCTTTAACCTGAGGATTTAGGGTATAATGACGCGCTGTCACTATGGACTAGGTAGGTTTGTATTTTTTTTTTTAAATTTTTAATATTAATTTTATATTTATTTTTATATTATATTTGAGGGGTGGTGGGGGGAGGGGAAGATGGATATACAATCAGACAGTTACTGTGTAATCGGAATTGGAACTCTTCGCTTGCTGCTGAAGATGGGGACTGAGCACTTATTGGAGTGTCCCGAGTGCTGTGATGTCGATTCTTAATTCAACATTAAAAATCTTTTTTAAAAATATATATCTACTGCCCTCAACAAACGGTGACTAATTAGAGGTTACCTTAAATTGGATCTGTTAGGCAGAAAGGGGTGGATATCGAACCTAACTTTAAACCACAACACAGTATGTCAACTGTTAGGCAGAAAGGGGTGGATATCGAACCTAACTTTAAACCACAACACAGCATGTCAACTGTTAGGCAGAAAGGGGTGGATATCGAACCTAACTTTAAACCACAACACAGCATGTCAACTGTTAGGCAGAAAGGGGTGGATATTGAACCTAGCTTTAAACCACAACACAGCATGCCATCTGTTAGGCAAACATGGGTAGATATTGAACCAAGCTTTAAACTACAACGCAGCATGTCAACTGCAATTTTCAGGGCAAGCGCAGAAAAAGGTGAAAAAAAGTATGGTCGCAAAATCAGTGACAAGATGTGTAACGATTCATCATCATCATCACCCCCAAGCATGTCTGACCATGGAGGTGTGGTCAAGCTTCCAGACAATTATACTGCATATTAAATCACTTGTGTCACACTGTTTAATTTAATGCAGTGTGCACTGATAAAGGAGCCGCTGGCCGAAGGGTTGAAAATGTTGGTCTCTCATGAGGGAGACCCAGGTTTTACCTCTCCCTGGGGAGCAGGTTTGTATTTAACAATGGAATCCCAAGCCCGAGCCTAAGGGTTAAACAACTCAGATACTAAAACAACAACAAACAGCCACTACAAACTGACCATTCCCAGCTACTACTCTACTACTAATGGTTTCCATTAGCAGCTGGTTTTGACTCCATTTTTAGCCTTGAAGGTGGCATAGACATGCTTTACTTCCCATGTCACATAATCGTGTTAGTGTTAGAATATGTGTGTTTCACATTGAGTTTTCTATAAAACAAACAAAGAACAGAATGATTTTTATCACAAATATACAGACGGTTGATTTTTTCTTCTTCTTCATCAGCAGTCTGAGTGACATAAATGCATTGTGCCTGTTGCAGCAAAGCTTCCTTATTTGTGTCTTTTGGCTGATACATCCAACCTTTTTGGGTATTTTTTTTTAATATCAGCCTTCCCAGCAATAGCTGATATTATAATTAGCATTCTGTCAAAAAAGTTAACCAAGAACATTCTGTCAAAAAGGTTAATCAAGAACATTCTGTCAAAAAAGTTAACCAAGAAAATTTTGTCAAAAAGGTTAACCAAAAAACATTCTGTCAAAAAGGTTAACCAAGAACATTCTGTCAAAAAGGTTAACCAAGAACATTCTGTAAAAAAAAGTTAACCAAGAACATTCTGTCAAAAAGGTTAACCAAGAACATTCTGTCAAAAAAAGTTAACCAAGAACATTCTGTCAAAAAGGTTAGCCAAGAAAATTCTGTCAAAAAGGTAAACCAAGAACATTCTGTCAAAAAGGTTAACCAAAAAATTATATAATTAGTGCTTTTATCCCTGTTTTGGGGAAAATACTGACCCAAAGCCTCCCCCAAACTGAAAGATAACAACTGGTATCCAAGAAAAGTGGCTGGATATTCCCACCAGGGTTCTCCTCCAGACTCACTTTATCCCTCGCAAATATTCTACAGCAGCAGTTCTCAGCCTATGGGTCACGACCCTTTTTATTTGGATCGTACAGGAAACGGCAGACTTCACCAACATATGTTTGTTAACATTTTTCGGTGTAATAAACAGGGAGATGTGTTCCTGCAGCTTCGCACCAGAAAAAGCTGAGCATGTACTTCAACACTGGCAAGTTTATGCTGCTGACAGAGAAGCAATCTGGCTTATTCAAACCTCACTGAAGATAAAACTGTATGGTACATATGGAGATTTGAACTGCACGATAGCTTCCATAAAGGCCACCGGCCTCCTGATATAATTTCTGGCAGAAGGATCAAACAAGAAGAAGGACAAGAATATGCTGGGCTGAGCAGCCCAGATATTGCTGCCTTGACATAAACTAAAACACAATGCTAGGAACAAAGAAGAAGTGCTTTATCAAAAGTTTACCAAAAACTGATATAATTAATGTTTTGTCAAATTCTTCCATTATTTTGTCAGGAAACAGATTCCTATTTTTAAAAACCATGTCAAAGGAGATGTGATGGATGTCTTAGAAAGAGAGAATAAACATTTACATATCGACCAAAAACAAAACAAGAAAACAAACAAAACACTTACTTGCGATGAGCATGAAATGAAGCGTATGTAAAACTCTTTCCTTCATAGTCGCCAAAAAATTTACTATCTCCAAGACGTATTTGGTAGATTTCATTGCCTGAACACTTGCCGTATAATCTCTGCCATTCTTCGTGTGAGGTCTGGCCTTCCCTGAACAAATAAAAACACAGATGATAAAACTCAGTTATCAAGGAATCAGGCTCTGTCTCCGCAATGGTGGTCAGCTGCAGTGGGTTCCTCGATGTACACTTCCCCACAGACTGCCATTTGTCTATCTCTTGATATCTTCCTCCCACTTGTATCATCGTCTATTTATTGCTCACATGCTTTTAACATTTCCCTATAGGATGGGTTTAATAATTGTGTTATGTCTTTCAGTGTGCCCAAAATATTTAACTTCAGTTTTTTTTATTCCCACTAGCAACTTTCTTTTCTTTTCCAGTCACATCAGAACCTGTGTATGTAATAGTTTTTCCCCCTCCAGTGAGTTATATATTTTCCCCTGTGGGTCCTCTGGGCCTTTGGGGGGGAGGAGAACAACACAGGTTGAAAACTGCCGGTCTAGAGGGTGTTGGGGGAGAGGGGCCTCAAGAGACTGGAGCCCCCAGGATTAAGTGTCTTTAGCCAAAGTTTATACATAAAGGAAATGTACTTACTGTCCTCATATTTATAATGTAAAGTGTACATAAATAAATACTTCAAAAGAGAACTCCAGTATAAGCATACTCCCTCACAAACATTCATAGAGCAGGGGTTCTCAAACTTCCTAATGCTGCGACCCTTTCTTACAGTTCCCACGTTGTGGCGACCCCCAAACACACAATTATTTCCGTTACTACTTCATAACCTCAATGAATATGTGTTTTCCGATGGTCTTTGGTGACCCCCAATGCAAGGGTCGCTTGACCTAAAAAGGGTTGCGACCCACAGGTTGAAAAATGCCAGTCTAGAGGGTGTTGGAGGAGAGAGGCCTCAAGAGACTGGAGCTCCCAGGATTCAGTGTCTTTAGCCAAAGTTTATACATAAAGGAAATGTACTCACTGTCCTCGTGATGTGTGGAGCAACAAGGTGACAAACGTGGAGATGCCAGGACACAGACAGTTGTTGGCCAGTAAGGCGTACTTGAATTCATCCTCACACACTACATTATCTGAAAAGAGAATGGGAAAATTGTGAGAAAGTTGTCAAACAAAATCCTAGTGAGGAATCTGCTGAATAAATGATAAGAAAGTGGAGAGAAATCATTGTGAGGGAAGTGATGAAAGAGTGATAAACAAATGGGGAGAAATTGTGAAGAAAGGGATGAGAAAGTGGAGAGAAACTGAAGATGAGAAAATGAAGAGAAATTGGTGAGACATTGTGAAGGTGATGAGAAAGTGTTGAGACATTGTGAAGGTGATGAGAAAGTGGTGAGACATTGTGAAGAAGGTGATGAGAAAATGATGAGAAAATTGTGAAGAAGTTGATGAGTAAATGAGTAAGTGGTGAGAAAATGTGAAAAAGGTAATAAGAAAATGATGAGTAAATAGTGAGAAATTGTGATGAAGGTGATCAGAAAGTGTTGAGAAACTGTGAATAAGGTGATCAGAAAATGATGAGAAAGTGCTGAGAAATTGTGAATAAGGTGATGAGTAAATGGTTTAAAAAATGGTGAGAAAATGTAATGAAAAGGATGAGAAAGTGATGAGAAATAATTGTCAAGAAATCGTGAGAAAATAATTAGTAAGTGTTGAGAAATTGTCAAGTACAAATTGTGGGAGAAATCATTATGAAGAAAGTGAATGGGAAAAGATAAGAAAGTTACGCAATGGGAAACAGATAACTTCCAGAATTATTTAAGAAGATAACTCCATGAGGAAGGGAACCAACCACCCCAGCTCACAGTCGATGTATAAAGTTAAAAAAAACACACCCCTGTATGGGTTCTAGAGCCCCATATGGGGGAAGGGGTAGTCCTACTGCCCCCTATCAAGCATGTCGTAAAGACTGACTAATTAGGGTGTTTCCTTTGATGTCAGAGTCAGCCTGAGACTGATAGGTGAAGAACCAACAGTCTGCACACAAATAGGCCAGATCTGTTTAACAAATGTGCAGGCAAAACTCAAGTTGTGGAACACGATTAAAGTGAAGAACTGGGCGAACAACCAGAACTTTCGACAGGAGTTTACAGCTGGTGGACGGGAAGAAGAAGAAGAAGAAGATGACGTATCTCTACAGAACTGTTGCTGTATTTAGTGTTTGGTGACTTTCTACTACTCCACAAACATCTGTCTCTTTAGAAAACCTCTGTTGAAACATATGCTGATTTACGTGTTATGATTACAGAAAAATAGCAAAGCACACAAAAAAAGAGGGAAAGGAGGAAATAAATAAAAAGAGAAAGAATTTTTATAAAAGTAAAGAAAGAAGTAACTACAATTGAAAGAATGAAAGAAAAAATGCAGCTGCAAGAGCAAACAGCCTGGTTCGTGTATGTGCTTATAATAGGTAGACACCAGACCATTAAACTGATGAAAGGAAAAAATGTTTCATTCCGCACGTAACCAGTTACCTGTATCCACCTACCTGCAAATTTCACGTGGAATTTATTTTCAGGCCGAAAGAGGTGAATGTAGAGCGGGCACTTGGGAGCGAAATCTCGAACAGCCCAGGCCCTCATGATAGTATGTTGGTCCTGAAAATAGGCCATCATTTACAAACATGAACATAAGAGCGAGTGACTGCAGGCGGACTATGTATATGCATGTCTGTCTATCTGTCTGTCTGTCTGTCTGTCTGCATACGTGCGTGCGTGTGTGTGTACTCATGCATGCATGCATGCGTGCGTGCGTGTGTGTGTATGTATATATAAACTACCCCTGTCTGGGTTCCAAGGCTCTATTTCAGAGAATATAGTATATCCCCACTGCCCGCTTACAAGTATGCCGTAGTAGGCAGCTAGTTAGAGGTATTTCTTTCAAAGTCAGAGCGTATCTGCTTGAGAAGCAAGGAATCAACAGTCTGCATACAAATACGTAATCCCCGTGTGGGTTCCGGGGCCCAGTTATAGGGAAAACAAGAATAGACCCACTGCCTACTCAAAAGCATGTCGTAAGAGTAGACTAATTGGGAGCTTCATTCGAAGTCGGAGTGCATCTGCCTGAGAAGCAAGGAACCAACAGTCTGCACGCAAATGAGTCAGATCTGTCAAACGGATGCAGATGCAACACTTAGGTTCGGAAACAGGAGTGCAGTCTAGAAATGGACGAACAGCCAGAACTTTCCACGGAAGTTTACAGCCGGTGAACACGAAGAAGAAGAAGAAGAAGAAATAAGCCAGATTTGTAAAACAGATATACACGTAAAAATCAAATTTATGGACCAAGACCAAAGTCCAAAGATGGACCAACAACCAGAATTTTCCGCCGGAGTTTAAACCTGTAAACGCCAAGAAGACAGAAGAAGACAAGAAAGTCCAAACGATGTAGACAGGGGCGGAATTGAAGAAAACACGGACAGAAAAAACCGTTGGTTTGAAACCTTTATCAGTGAGCACCACAATCGAAACAGCTTTTATTGTTTATATGTCTGGTTCTCTCTCTCTCTCTCTCTCTCTCTCTCTCTCTCTCTCTCTCTCTCTCTCTCTCTCTCTCTCTCTCTCTCTCTCTATCTATCTATCTATCTATCTATCTATCTATCTATCTATCTATCTATCTATCTATCTATCTATCTATCTATCTATCTATCTATCTATCTATCTATCTATCTATCTATCTATCTATCTATCTATCTATCTATCTATCTATCTATCTATCTATCTATCTATCTATCTATCTATCTATCTATCTATCTATCTATCTATCTATCTATCTATCTATCTATCTATCTATCTATCTATCTATCTATCTATCTATCTATCTATCTATCTATCTATCTATCTATCTATCTATCTATCTATCTATCTATCTATCTCTGAACACAACAAGCTTTATTGATAAAATACAACTCCTGTGTGAAAGATGAGTGTTTGGAAGGGCCGAATCTAAAAGGTACCTGCGTGCCCAGTTTGTGACTCTTTGAAAATATAGTTTGTTCGCTCTCTCTCTCTTTCTTCTCTCTCTCCCCCCCCCCCTCTCTCTCTCTCTCTCTCTCTCTCTCTCTCTCTCTCTCTCTCTCTCTCTTTTATCTCCCAGTTAAGTCCTCTTCCCGAGTTCGCGAATTCACAAATTTAAAAGGGGTTTTAAAGGCGAGAGGACTGACATCATTACGTTGTACCTGCAACACTGACTCCATCCCCCACCCCTTTCCAAGGCTCAAGAAACACATCTTAAATATTCTACCAACCGAAGGGCAGGTCCGAAATCGAACTCAGAACAGAAGGGGGGGGGGGGGGGGGAGAGGGGGGGGGGGAGCTATTTAGATATATGATTTTTAGTTGCCCTTTAAAAATGTTCATAGCCCGCCTCTGCTCGATGACTCCACGGCCGTTCGCAACCAACTGTGGGGGCCGTGACAAATGGGTTTGGAATCCGGGACTTGAAAGTAAATGTGTGGGAGTTAAAAGAGCTAAGCTGAGCTCAGTTGATTCAAGAACTGAGAACACAGCACTTAGGATATTCCAATAAGCGCTCCGTCTCCATCTTCAGCAGTCAGTGCAGTTGAGAAACAGTCAGAATCTGCTGTTTTCTCCCTCGGGATGCTACTTGAAGGCTTGACAACAACCACTAAAGCTTTCAGAATCTCGATATGGACGGCAAAACAACAGGGCAAATCTCAGGTAACCTGTTTAATCTCCAAAGAAATTATAACTGGGGCACCTGTAACGGCAACACCAGCACGGTGCCGCGCCAGGTTCGTTGTGGGTATGTGGACTTCTAGTAGTTGTCCCTGGTCTCTGGGTAGTGAGATCGGACGCCCGTGTGTATTGTTGTGCACGAAAAAAATCAACTTGGCAGTTGGCAATCGAAAAAAAGTAGCATAACGGCGCTGCCAAGGCAAAATTTAGAGTTTAAAATCTACCGAAAGTATTTCAGGATCCTCGCCGGTGTTACAGAGTTCGTGTATTGCGCTGAGATTCTTTGGACTCAGGCTAAAGAAGTAGAACGGAGCAGGTATGGGTTACTATCTTTGTGAAATGGTGTCGATCCGTTGAATAAACATAAACCTACACGTACTCATACATTATACTCAATATGAGCAGAGGAGGAGAACTTACAAAAATGGGGGGCGGGCGGAGTGGAAGGGCGGGGGGGGGGGGGAGTGGAAGGTGCGGGCGGGGGGGGGGGGGCTGTCTCAGACAGGCTATTAAAGGGACCTTACCGTGGCGTCTTTGTCTGCGGTGTTCCTGTGATTTCTGGCCGAGAGAATGAAACAGGCCTCGGCATCTTGCATCCTGCATAGAGACGGGTAAACAGTCTGTCAGTGAAGTAATGGCACAGGCGATATCTTTGAGGCAAACAGCTGAGCTATATTTCCTAGTTATAAACATGAACATGTTGAGGCAAACAGCTGAGCTATATATCCTAGTTATAAACATGAACATGATATACAGGCTGAATGCTGGGCTCTCACACTGGAAATCCTGGTTCGAATCCTCGGTAAAGCTGGGTATTTCCTTTCTGTCTGGGCAAAAAAAACAACAACAACCTGATCGGCGCAGTTGGTGGCGACACACAGCCATACGGCCCTAAATCTTCAGACTCAATAATTCCAGCACCCACCCCTCACTACTCACCCCTTACACTGCCAAAGTGGGGTAAAAGTATTGTTAGTCTCCCCAGACCCCACCCATATATACAATAGCTTACTTCTGATTTGTAGTTCCTGAGCCCTGTGTCCTTCGCACAAGGTTACAGAGGTGTTCTTCAATGCTGTTGATATCCCACCATCAGTGGTGTATATTTCAGCGCGCCAACGCTTTTAACACTCAAAAAACATGGAGAAACTGGCTCTAACACAACCCTCCTAGAGAGTGCTGCCACCTAAGTCACAGGCATTTCCTTTCTCGGAATGAAAACGTAAATGCAAGACATGACATAAACCAAACAACAGAGCGGGACACACCTGTAATCTTCAGGAAAGTCGACCAGCCCAACAAACTTGTGAATAATTAGTGACCTACTCTATTAGGGGAGACTAACGTGAATCTAACCATAAAGTGGTCTATACAATCAGTAATGGCTGTTAAAAAGGCCCTTTTACATGCCAGTGGCGCATCAGGCTGTGAGGCAAGACTCGTAGATTTATAACAAATCAATGGTCAATGTCACACCGTCCACCTTTACTTTCCAGGACTGGGTCGAGCTAGGAGCCAAGGTCATGTCTGAAAGAAATCTAGCGCCATGCGGATTTGAACCAACGATCTTTAAGTCCGCAGGCGAGCAATCGCAGATAATCGGACCCTTTTCATCAGAGGATAAAAGGAAAACAAACAAGAAGAAGAAAGAAAAAGAAGACGAAGAAGAAGAGAAGGAGGTACAAGAAGAGAAAGAGAAAAAAATGAAGAACAAGAAGAACAAGAAGAACCAGCATGATGACAATATACGAAACCATGTGCTGACCTGCATCGCGTCAGGTCAGTGTCCTTTAGTGCTGACCCCTGGACGTAGATGACCCGCTGGGCCCACAAGGGAACTTGAAGCAGCATCTTCATGGTCGTGTCCAGCTCACACGGTGACAGCATGACCACGAAATAGTCCTACAACAATGATTTTAACAACAATGATTTTAGCCACAATGATTTTAGCAACAATGGTTTTAGCAACAATGATTTTAGCAACAATTATTTTAGCAACAATGGAAGATAAATGTGAATAAATCAGTTACTTGCGGTTCCAGCTTAACGTCAAATGGGGCCAAAAGGAGCGGGAACCTGGGGACTGAGGTTCCAAGCTCCATCCCCAATAATTTACGTAAGCTCTATGTTGATTGTTGCTTATTTTAGAAATCAATTAAACGACTCCACGTGTCGTGTCCGCATTTGTCTTGACTTAGAACAACAGTTAGTGAGCCAGGGTATTTGTGTTTGCAGGGAATACGTAATTCGTTTCCTAGCTATCTGGTCTACGTTTAGAAAAGAAAGACTTTCTGGGGTGATCAGAAAAAAAAATGTGTAAAGTTGTTCACATAGGTGCCGGACTGGGGGACTCAGGTTCCTTGAGCCTTGAGTCCCACACTTGGGCTGAGGTCGCTTGGTGGGATCTCATGCCTGGATCGCTTGGTGGGATCTCATGCCTGGATCGCTTGGAAGGATCTCCTGCTGCGATCCCATGCTGAGGTCGCTTGGTGTGATCTAGTGCTGGGATCGCTCGGTGGAATCTCGTGCTGGGGTAGCTTAGTAGAATTATGTACTGTGAGCCCGTACACAATTATTTGTGCATTTATGAGCTCAGTGTTTGTCGACACACACACACACACACACACACACACACACACACACCCCGCAGAGCGCGTGAACACAACACCCACGCACTAACTCATACGCTCACACGACACAGAGAAATATACCTGCAACTTTGGGTGAGCGTAGAACTCGTTGAGAAAGTCCATCACGGAGTCAGCCTGCAGCACCGTCATACAGACCACCACGTGCTTCTCTGTCTGGGCTCGGTGACTGCTGTAGGAACCTCCCAGTTTCTGTCTCTCCAACCACGTCAGGGCCAGCTGTTCTAACTGTTTGACCAGAACGTCAAGCAGATGATCTCACAAGATAACAAATGAGAAGCAGAGAAAAACATTAACATTATGGTAAAAAAAAAAAAAAAAAAAGGATCCTGTTCCACGCCTTTAGGCGTACTAGACAAATCTTTAACAGACCAATCGGCAGTCGGTGGGAATTGTGGTCAACACCACGCCAGCCGCCTTTACTTCCCAGGACTACCTGGTAAGCATTTAAGGCAGGGTCGAGCTGGGTGGGTCGAGCTGGGAGTCAAGGTCGGTTCTGAAGCTTCGATCGGCTTTAAAACCACGATCTTCGGAACCGCAGGCAAGCGTATAGTCGATAGATCACGGTGGTTCGTCCACTTTTATGGTAACTTCTTCTTCTTCCTTTCTTCTCCCTCCTTCCGACTTTTTGCCGTCCTTCCTCCCCGCCTTCCTTCCTTACTTCCTTCTTCCTTCTCTTCTTTTTCTTTTCTTATTTTCCTTCTTCTTCTTCTTCTTCTTCTTCTTCTTCTTCTTCTTCTTCTTCTTCTTCTTCTTCTTCTTCTTCTTCTTCTTCTTCTTCTTCTTCTTCTTCTTCTTCTTTTCCTTTCTTCGTCTCCTCCTTCTCCTTCTCCTCCTCCTCCTCCTCCTTCTTCTTGTTCTTCTTCTTCTTCTTCTTCTTCTTCTTCTTCTTCTTCTTCTTCTTCTTCTTCTTCTTCTTCTTCTTTTTCTTTCTTTCTTTCTTTCTTTCTTTCTTTCTTTCTTTCTTTCTTTCTTTCTTTCTTTCTTTCTTTCTTTCTTTCTTTCTTTCTTTCTTTCTTTCTTTCTTTCTTTTCTTTTTCTTTCTTTTTTTTCTTTCTTTCTTTCTTTCTTTCTTTCTTTCTTTCTTCTTTCTTTCTTTCTTTCTTTCTTTCTTTCTTTTCTTTCTTTTTCTTTCTTTCTTTCTTTCTTTCTTTCTTTCTTTCTTTCTTTCTTTCTTTCTTTGTTTTCTCTACTCCTGGAATGCCTTGCAGTGTCAGGGCAGGTAGAGGTCTCTGGAACGGATCCTTCTGTTTGCTTCATATAAAGAGATTCTGCGTCGTCGACCTCTGGTTCTGCTACCATTGTATCTGTATAGCACTGCTCTCTGTGGTGCCCTGTCTGATGCCAATTTTGTTACATGGCCAATTTATGTGGTTTGTTGTCTACCTATAAAGTTCAGTATTGGTTTTATGCCGACTCTCCTCCTGATGTCATCATTCCTAAGTCGATCTTTCCTGGTTACACTACGTAAAGAGTTTATTTCAGTCGTGACTTTATGGTAACATGAATGAAAATGACAGAATGTATTCTTTTCCTCAGCAAAACAAATACCAAATTTATCACAAGCACGACCATCATTATAGTTATCATCATCATCATCATCATCATCATCATTATCATTATCATCATCATCATCATCATTTGCATAGGTTTTCATGTCATTCCGTAGAATGGTGCCCTGGATCAGTTCTACAGATGATAATCCTCCATGCTACAATTGCAGACAGGGAACAAGAAGAAAAGACTGCAACTGAGAAAGCAAATCAGACTGGAGGAAAAAACACGAAAGAAGGAAAAACAAGAAATGAAAATTTAGAAGAAAAAAAAAACAAGAAAGAAATAAAAAAAAACAAGAAAGAAGAACAGTAGTAGAAACACAAACAGACAAAAAAGGAAGAAGAAGATCGAAAGAAAAACATAATCAAAACAGATGAATCCAGCATAATTTCAAGATCTGCTTGTGTCTGTTTATAGGATCTGTTGTTTCTCTTTACAGGATATGCCGCATCTCTGTTACTGGATCTGCCGAGTTTTTTTTAGTTAATCTATCGCGTCTGTTTTATTGGATCTGATGTGTCACTATTACTGGATCTGCCGTATAACTTTTACTGGACCTGTCGTGTTATTTTTAGTGGATCTGCCGTGTCCCCTTCTAGTGGATCTGCTTGTCTTTTTTATAGGATGTGCTGTGTCTCTTTTAAGGATGTGCCGGATCAATTTTACTGGATCTGCCGTATCAACTTTACTGGATCTACATGTCTCTTTTACTGGATCTGCAGTATCTTTTAGTGGATCTGCCGTATCTCTACCACTGCAGATTTGTCTAAATCTACGATAGTCTTCAAAGCTTCTCTTATTATGGTCTGACCAAAGCATATTGTTTGTTCCTTTCTGATACCAACTTATGTTATACGTTATGAGCTTTTTCCCCCATGAGAAAACAACTGACGCGAATAGACATTTCATTTCCTTTAGCGCTACAGACGTCCTGCCTTCTCAGACAAGTGCGAAAAACGAATAGAACGGTCTGTGTAGATTGTCACGGTAAAAATATCCCTTGGTATTTGGAAAGGGAAAGATCAGGCAGAAAAAGGCGACGTCTGGACACAGTTATATATTATAACTACTGATATGTGTGTGTGTGTGTGCGTGTGCGCGCGCGCGCGCGCGCGAGAGAGAGAGAGAGAGAGAGAGAGAGAGAGAGAGAGAGAGAGAGAGAGAGAGAGAAGACAAAATGTACAATGGATGGCACACAAGTTCATTCAATTATTTTCCTTTTGTGCCTGTAATATGTCAGCAGTTAATTCCTCAGTTCCACTCTACCCCGTGCAATCAGTTTGATATCATGGATGGAATCCCTTCCAGCATCTTTGGCTTCTCTCATCAACGTTCGCTGTAAGGTTTCTCGGGGACGTGCTCTCTTCCTTAATCCCATTTATTTCCCATGTTAGTGTGTGGTGATTCTCTGCTCATTTCTTCTCAGCATGTGTCCAGTACAGGGTTATAGTTGCGACCACTACTCTTCCTCCTCTTCTCTTTTCTTTTCTTCCGCAGCCTTCTTTTTCTACTTCTTTTTCTTTTTCTTCTTCTTCCTTTTCTTCTTCTTCTTCTTCTTCTTCTTCTTCTTCTTCTTCTTCTTCTTCTTCTTCTTCTTCTTCTTCTTCTTCTTCTTCTTTCTTCTTCTTCTTTTTCTTCTTCTTCTTCTTCTTCTTCTTCTTCTTCTTCTTCTTCTTCTTCTTCTTCTTCTTCTTCTTCTTCTTCTTCTTCTTCTTCTTCTTCTTCTTCTTCTTCTTACTCTTCTTCTTCTTCTTCTTCTTCTTCTTCTTCTTCTTCTTCTTCTTCTTCTTCTTCTTCTTCTTCTTCTTCTTCTTCTTCTTCTTCTTCTTCTTCTTCTTCTTATTCTTCTTCTTCTTCTTCTTCTTCATGATCAGTTCCTTATTCACTTTAATTTAACATATTAGGTCACAGTAAGACCAGTTTGCTAAGGGAGACGGGCTAAATATCAACCAGACAAAACAGCAGGTCTGTTGTACATCAGAGAAACTCTACAACAGACACGACGTGTCTATTGTCGAGGCGGTCAGAAGTGCAAGAAACCGAACCCCATACATCACCCGATATCCGAATCGTTAACAGATGAAATGAAGAAGAAGAAGCCGAAGAGAAGAACAAACGAACAAACTTTATTTCCAAAGGGTTGCAAATTGGGCACGCAGGCCTGTCTTATATTTGTATTTCCAAGCATTTATATTTTATGTTGCAGTTGCATTTTATTTATCAAGCATGTTATGTTCATATGTCATAATACACAGTATATATGTAAACTAACAATTAAAAATACAAGGCATGGATGAGAAATGCAAACCTTTGAATATACGTGCAGAAATACTCTCACATCGCAGACACATACAAGCACACACACAGACACATCACCCTTACACACCCAGAGGCGCGCATACACTGATGGACCACACACACACACACACACACACAACATAAACAGGCACACAAACAATCACAGATAGAACACATACACAGCACACAAAACATACACACAAATCCAACACACATACACAGACACAAAACACACAGTCACCTTTACACATAGACGCGAGAGACACACAGACAACACACACTGATGCAACATAAACAGATATATGTACTCTTACAGACACAACACATACATATAGACACAACTAATAGACACAAACACAGTACATACAAACAGACTCAACACAAGCACATAGTTCACAAATACGGCACAGACACAATACAGGAACACAACTCACACAACATGCAGACACACACAGGCTCTTAAACACAACACTCACGGGCAACAACATTCTTAGACACTCCAAACACTTACATGTAAGCACAGACTCGCAGATACAATACACATAAACAACAATGCACAGATACATCAATACACAGACACAGGAATACACAGACACCGCATTACATAGACACAGCATTACATAGAAACAGCATTACATAGACACAGCATTACATAGAAACAGCATTACACAGACACAGCATTACACAGACACAACAATGCACAGACACAAAATTATACAGACACAACAATACATAGCAATGCACAGACACAACAATGCACAGACATAACAATGCACAGACACAACAATGCACAGACACAAAATTATACAGACACAACAATACATAGCAATGCACAGACACAACAATGCACAGACATAACAATGCACAGACACAACAATGCACAGACACAACAATGCACAGACACAACAATGAACAGACACAACAATGCACAGACATAACATTGGACAGACATAACAATGCACAGACACAGAAATACACAGACACAACCATACACAGACACAACAATGCACAGACACAAAAATACACAGACACAACAATGCACAGACAAAAATAATACACAGACATAACAATGGAAAGAAGAAGAAGAACAAGAAGAAGAAGAAGAAGAAATAAGTAGTAGTAGTAGTAGTAGTAGTAGTAGTAGTAGTAGTAGTAGTAGTAGTAGTAGTAGTAGTAGTAGTAGTAGAAGTAGTAGTAGTAATAGTAGTAGTAATAGTAGAGTAGTAGTAGTAGTAGTAGTAGTAGTAGTAGTAGTAGTAGTAGTAGTAGTAGTAGTAGTAGTAGTAGTAGTAGTAGTAGTAGTAGTAGTAGTAGTAGTAGTAGTAGTAGTAGTAGTAGTTCTTGTTGTTGAAGAAGCAGAATATGAAAAAGCACTTGCCTGTGTTGGAAGAATGACCAGCACGAAGCAAATCATAATGAGGATAAACAGCTGGCTGGGCCAGATGTCCGGGTAAATGTCCCCAAACCCTACAGTAGCCAGCGTGACCACCACAAACCACAAGGACTCAAACATCCCGAACTGACGGTTCTGACTGCCCCGCTGTAGATGATGGACTCCACAAGCACTGGAAACAAAAAAAAGATTCGTATGGTCATCGTTTAGAAAGATATGTAGCAAATGATCTCGTTTACATTTCAAAACACCGGTGCAGGTCAAATTTTACCACGGGTCGCTGAGTGAATTACAAAAGTCAGTTAAGTTCGAAATAGAGAAAACATTGCAGATATAATTTATAATCTATAATATAGGTTAATCCTAGTTTAAGAGCATAATAGCAATAATTTGCCGAATAGCAGTTTACTATAATAATATACTCGAAATAATATGAAATGTATAAACAAATAGCTTTCAGGAAAATATTTATACGTGGTTAAAGGGAACCAATGTTTAGCCGCATTCTCATTATAACAATTATGCGATGGGGGTGGGGGAGTGGGCCTCAGGAAACCCAAAAAGCTCGCCTCCCCTTCCCCATGTACCGGCATCTATTCACGAGATACCAAGTAACAGAAAGTGTATTGATTGGCACTTATAGAAAGAAGTAGTTACCGGCACGGTAACTATAGCTTTCGATTTTTTATGTTGTCTAGTGTGTTCTTCTATCTATCTACTTCTTTCTATGAGTGCCGATTATTACACTTTCTGTTGTTTAATTCTGTTGATTTCTTGATTAATTCATAATATTTAACGGCCTCAAAGGTTGCCCCTCTGTGTATTCACGAGATACCAGTACTTTTTCCCCGAAAGCGGTATCCGTGGAAACCAGTTGTTTACATATTACAATTTGCAGATCGCGGGAAAAAACTCAATGAGCTCTGTCTGACAACTCTAGATTAATGTCCCGCGGCAAAGTTACATATTTGTATATCATTCTTGATTTACAGATCAATCATTGACTGTCGGTCTTGTCAGGCAGGCTGTACGGACTTCTGTTTATTATGTTTGTTTATTTATTCAACGGATCAACATCATGGCACCCGGGTGTAACCCATAAGTGCTCCGTTCTACTTCTAACTCAAGCCTGAGTGAGAACGTTTTCAGCTTAGTGCACCAACTCTGTTGCACCGGCGAGGATGCTGAATTACTTTCTGGGTAGATTTTTAACTCCAAATAAATTTTGCCCGGGCAGCGCCGTTAGGCTACTCTTTTTCATTTTCAGCTGCCAAGGAATTTTTTGGCTATCCTCCGAATAACGGGCACAAAATATTGCGGCCGCAAAAACATCCTAACAGAGCCTCAGTCACGTGTCAATTGCGCACTTCCGGCAACTTAATTTGCGGTTTTTCGGCGACTACCGCCACCGAGAGGAGTTGCCCACGCCGCTCGCAGGCGTGGATTGGGGCTAAACTAGATGGCTGGGATTCACGAGCAGCAGCCTTTGCATCTCCTGCAGCTTTGCTCGTGAAACCTAGCCATTTAGTTTAGCCCCAATCCACGCAGCTCACGCGGGGGGACTCTTGACGGTGGCGGTAGTCGCTGGAAAACCGCAAATTAAGTCGCCGGAAGCGCGCAGTTGACAACGTGACTGAGGCCCTCTTTTTGGCCGCCATCTTTTGTGCCCGTTTTTCGGAGAATAGCCGATTTTTTTTTTACGTTCGCAAGAATACACATTGGCGTTCGATTTACTACGCAGAGACAAAGGGAAATTACTAGAAGTCCACATGTCTGAGGGAGGATCGGTCGTGTGGACAGACTGGACAGATTTATGCATGTACTTACGCACAAACGTAAATGTATACCAGAAAACACTGAGAGAAGGGGGGGGGGGAACCATCGACCTTGTAAAGCTTTTAGCTGCGGTTAGGGAGGAGCTCAAAGAATCCAACATTGTTTAAGTGATTAATAATACTATAATAAGGCGGCGCCGAATGGCAAATAAATATAATAGTATATTTCTAATCTTCTTCTTTTTAGCGTTTTCTTTAAAATGCAAACGGTTCCTCGCCTCTCAGGCAGATACACTCTGACTTTAAAGGAAACTCTCCTAATTCGTCGCACTGTACGACATGTTTGTAAAGGAGGCAGTGGGTGTATTCTCCCCTCCTCCCAAACCTCACCCAGTGGGGCCCCGGAACCCACACAGGCAACATATTTAAAATAATATGCCGCGACGAATAAGCAAAACCGTAACAAGAATGTGGCTTTAGTATTACTACGCACTGCTTCAGAACAAAGTCACCCCCCCCCCGCCTCCCCCCCGCCTTCCCCCCCCCCCGCTTTTTTCCCCTCCCCACAAGCGCATGAACGCACGCACATACAACCACACCTTCTCTCTCTCACTTACAACCACACCTTCTATGTCTCTCTCACATACAACCACACCTTCTCTCTCTCACATACAACCACACCTTCTATGTCTCTCTCACATACAACCACACCTTCTCTCTCTCTCACATACAACCACACCTTCTATGTCTCTCTCACATACAACCACACATTCTCTCTCTCACTTACAACCACACCTTCTATCTCTCACATACAACCACACCTTCTCTCTCTCTCACATACAACCACACATTCTCTCTCTCACATACAACCACACATTCTCTCTCTCACTTACAACCGCACCTTCTATCTCTCACTTGCAACCACACCTTCTCTCTCACATACAACCACACCTTCTCTGTCTCATATACAACCACACCTTCTCTGTCTCATATACAACCACACCTTCTCTCTCTCACACATACAACCACACCTTCTCTCTCTCACATACAAACACACCTTCTCTGTCTCATATACAACCACACCTTCTCTGTCTCATATACAACCACACCTTCTATCTCTCTCTCACATACAACCAGACCTTCTCTCTCTCACATACAACCACACCTTCTCTCTCTCTCTCTCACATACAACCACACCTTCTTTCTCTCACATACAGCCATACCTTCTCTCTCTCTCACATACAACCACACCTTTTCTCGCTCTCACATACAACCACACATTTTCTCTCTCACATACAACCACACCTTTTCTCTCTCACATACAACCACACCTTCTCTCTCTTACATGCAACCACACCTTCTCTCTCTCACATACAACCACACCTTTTCTCTCTCACATACAACCACACCTCTCTCTCTCTCTCACATACAACAACACCTTCTCTCTCTCACATACAACCACACCTTCTCTGTCTCACATGCAACCACACCTTCTCTCTCTCTCACACATACAACCACACCTTCTCTCTCTCTCACACACAACCATACTCACAGACAACCCCCCGCACCCACACACATAACCACACTAACACACAACCAAACATACTCACACACAAGCACAAAGACACCCCCCCCCCTTTCCACACACACACACACCACAATAACAAGACAGACAGACCAATTGCATCTAAGTGCCCCTCTGGCATTACGATTGTATCTGTCACACATCAATACATATTTCAGCCAGTGTCCCTTTCATGTCGGCAAATGAATATGAGAACTTAGTTTGAACGACAATGTCCCCCACACAGCCTGCCATTTCATACCAATTCACTCTAAAGGGTTGCTCTAAATAATATATGGCCGTCCAATGCAGATGAGCTCTGATAGTCGTCTCGCATTTAACCGGGTTGTATGGTGCAGACAGTAAATGTGAAAATATGAAGGTACACACATAGACAAGACATACAGGAGAGAGAGAGAGAGAGAGAGAGAGAGAGAGAGAGAGAGAGAGAGAGAGAGACTTGGATAAGCAGAAGGAGAGGCAGACAGACACTTAATCGGTTATTCAAACAAATAAATATTCAGAGACAGATGGATAGAAAGAGAATTGGATTGACAATCAGACCCGATGATTGACAGATGGATGCATGCATTTTGCATGCCTATGGATGCTCTATCTTAAATGGACAAATGACCGACTGACCGATAGCGGATGGATAGATGGATAAAAGTATGGATGGATGCATGGATACATGGATGCATGGATGTATAGATGGATGCATGGATGGATGTATGAATGGATGATTGGATGGATGCATGAATGGATGATTGGATGGATGGATGGATGAATGGATAGATGGATAGATGGATGTATGGATGGATACATGGGTGGATTGATACATGGATGGATGGATGGATGGATGCATGTATGGAAGCATGGATGCATGGATGGATGGATGCATGAATAGATGGATGGATGGATGGATGCATAGATGATGGATGGATAGATGGATGGATGGACGGATAGATGCATGGATGCATGGATGGATGCATTGCATGGATGGATGCATGGATGGATGGATGGATAGATGCATGGATGGATGGATGCATAGATGCATGAATGCATGGATGGATGCATGGATGGATGGAGGGATAGATGCATGGATGCATGGATGGATGGATAGATGCATGGATGCATGGATGGATGGATGGATGGATGGATGGATGGATGGATGGATGGATGGATGGATGGATGGATAGATGCATGGATGGATGGATGTAAGCATGATGATGGATGTGGATGGCTGCATGTATGGATGGATGGATGGATGGATAGAAGCATGGATGGATGGATGGATGGATGCATAGATGCATGGATGGATGCATGGATGGATGGAGGGATAGATGCATGGATGCATGGATGGATGGATGGATGGATGGATGGACGGATGGACGGATATATGCATAGATGCATGGATGGATGGATGGATGCACGGATGGATGGATGGATAGATGCATGGATGCATGGATGGATGCATGGATGGAAGGATGCATGGATGGATGGATGGATGCATGGATGGATGGATGCATGGATGGATGGATGAATGGAGGGATATATGCATGGATGCATGGATGGTTGTTGGACGGATAGATGCATGGATGGATGGATGGATGGGCGGATAGATGCATGGATGGATAGATGCATAGATGAATGGATGGATGGATGCATAGATGGATGCATGGATGCATGGATGCATGGATGGATGGATGGATGGATGGATGGATGGATGGATGGATGGATGCATGGATGGATGGATGGATAGATGCATGGATGGATGGATGGATGGATGGATGGATGGATGGATGGATGGATGGATGGATGGATGGATGATGC